GAAATTGTGGTCACCTTTAGTAGTAGTGGGGATGGGATGGCTAAATATCAAAGGAAACAATACGGCCAGACCAACCTGCATATTAAGCGTACAACAGAACAGTACGAATGGAGGTGTTAAGTTTTCAAATTGAGTGGGGCCCAGTAAATAGAGCTTGTCAAGTAAGAAATGAGTGACTTGTAATGATTAAATTATTGTATTTCCATATTGAACACCATCTCACCTATTATTCAATATTTGTAATGATGACTTTGAAGTGACAACAGTCTTTTTCCTATTCTAGACTTAACGTGCAAGTTGGCAATTCCTTTTTTATATTGCATATTTTCAACATTTTATTCTTTTTTTTTTTACATGTGTTTTGGTTCATCTATTTTTCTGTTTATATGTAATTGTCGTATGCCACTGGTAATTTTTATCCCAGGTGGATCCAGCCAATGTAAGGCCAATTCAAGAAGGGGCTGTCAATGCATTGCTGGAAGCTGAAAGGGTTGCTGAGGCCACAAAACAAGCAATCAAAAGGAAGATTGCACAAGCTGCATCTATTGACTTCCAATCACGAAGCTTACCAGCAAAACTTCGCATAGAACCTGATGATCCTGAGGATGTGGTATTTTATCTTTCTGTATCTATTTCATCATTCTTTGTCCTGTCCCAAAATTGTGGGTGTGGTAGAAGATTCACAAGACAAAAAATTTTGTCCTAAATATAGTCTTCAATGACTCATTTTTATCCGTGTTATGGATCCTAATCAAGTATTGTAGTTTATCATGTCGTTCAAAGTAGGTAAAAACACAATAGCAGCAACGGCTTAAATATAAAACAGATTTTTGTAGCAATGGTAATAGTCAAATAATAAATGTAATACTCTGTGAATGCTGTTAATTCTGAAAGAGTGAATGAAGTTTGTAATAAGAATAATTTGCATGACCTAAATTCAGTGCTTTCTGAAATAAACTGACAGTTTTTATAAGTATATTTTTTAGTAAATTTAGAACTTAATTAATGAAGTATATTTATTTTATTATTCAGTCAAGATTACATAAAGTTGGTTTACTTTAGAGATTTGGTAGTTGTTTGGTAGAATAAGCGATCCAACTTGTTGGAACTTGCTTGGTAGCAATCATAATTGTTTGTAGTCTTCTATTTTTGTTTTTTACCCTACTAGTTATGGTTCAATGTTTTTACAATGCACTCTAAGAACTAGTTTTTTGGGGACTGATTCTAGCCAACTTCAAAATCTACAGAAAGCTACCAAACGAAAAAAGATACATTCTTTTAAGTCGAAGATGAGGATGGAGCAACTAGAAGTTACGCAAAATAAACGTCAAAATGCTTGGCAACAGTTCCAAACAACCAAAGGCAAGACTAAGAAGGTATGTTTGCTTGACATTTTTGAATTTCTGTGTGCTTCCACTTTTGCTTTGATTGGTCTTTTTCAAGGGACAACAATATTGGCCGGTTTAATTTGTTTACACACATTACTAGTTCGGCAGCATTTTCTTCTTTTGGAGTGGTTGCCTAAAACAGTGTTTTCAAAGGTGATGGTGAGGTGGCCGTGAAGCACCATAAGTTTACCTCATCACAGAGGCATTAGAGAGTAGACAAATCTCGCTGCTATCTCTTGGTTTTAAACTTCTCCCCCATTAATGCAACTCTGCATTATACTTGGTCAGGTTTCAAAGAAAAAGAAAAGTTAGGGTTTTCTTTAATTTCTTAGCTGCACACTTCCCAGCCTAGTTCTATTTTGGTATCTATCCAAACTAGCTGTACAAGCCCTAGAATTAGAAAGTTGTATGATGATCATTATGATAGTACATAACAAGAAGTTGCAGAAGAGGAAAAAAGATTAAATAAAAAACTGTCTGAAGGTTGATTATTATGCTTAATCACAGTTAAACTTTGTTTTTTCTAATGGAGTTGCAATCTGAGGTCATGATTTGTTATTGTACTAGGAACTTCATACTTTGCTTGTGACCATTTAATCTTTGGTGCTTGTCTTAGTTTATGATTAAAATAAACAGAGCAATTCAAGTGTGGGGTTCCTTTTTTGGAACAAGGCCCATTGATTTTGAACGTTCTACCATCACCAATTGTAACTACAAAGAAACAGAAAAAATAAATGTACCTATTAAAAAGGGACTTCTACCTCACGGTGGACAATTTTCAACCTAGCTTCTTCTAAGAATTGATTTGGTATTTACGTGGCCTTGTCTGTTCTTACTGCTGATTCACATATCATCCCAGCTAGAGCTGTAACTTGTTACATTAATTTTCAGATTGGTTTCTTTTCTGGACGCAAGCGAGAGAGCATCTTCAAGTCTCCTGACGATCCTTTTGGGAAGGTTGGGGTGACTGGGAGTGGAAAGGGCTTGACAGACTTTCAGAAGAGGGAAAAGCACTTGCATCTCAAAGGCGGAACAGCTGAGAATGATGATGAGGCTCCTTAGCTCCATGTTGTCTCCGTAGAAGGGAAAAAAGAAAAAGAAAATATCTTCTTGCTCTCTGTACACCTGGTCAAGAGGTTCAGTTTGAACTTGTTAACTGAAAATCCATGGTAGGAATTGGGTATTTGAAACTGTATTTATTGTTCTTACCCTCGTTGTTAGTATTTTGCTATAATAGCCCCCTTCCTGGAACCTTTCGAGTTGTATTGTGTTATACTTTTTTTGGTCTTGAAATGAAGCAAGGGTTGGTTTGAGTTTCAGATGAGAAGAGGCGAGCAAAGCAGAGAAGGATCTCGTTAATAAGAGAACTTTTGATATAGAAAAGAGCAGTTGGCACTTTTTGAGCATTACTTGATTTGGCAGACTGTAACATAGAATAGAACCTGTTTTATCATCATAGCACCACCTCAGCAATGTTACATCATATACTTTAAACCCCATCGGCCGACCCTTAATTTCAAAAGTTTTTATTCACCTAAACAAATATTGGCCAAAGAAAAAAGGTACTGTGAGAAAAAGTAAATTAAGGTTTTGGCCATACTAAAAATTTCACTTTTGGAAAAAGCTAAAATTTTTCTAAAAAAGGCAAAAAAACTCCTCAACTTTCAAACCGAAGGCGTGCAAATGTAAAGAATTTCTTAGGAAATTCAAAAATAAATAAAGGCATTTTTGTCCATTTTGGCTTCTTTTAAAAATATTTCTCTCCTTTAACCTTTTTCAAAATGTCTCCTCGGAATACATAATTTTTAAATAAAGAAGGCTTAATTTCTCTATGGTCAAACATGACATGGAATCCGGGAACTCCAAAATGACCTATATTACTCTATTGATTGGTGTTTTGTGTTTTATTGTATGAAGTGTGCCAAAAAAGAAATTTAATTTAACCAAATTTTTTTTTAATACATGCAATAGTCTAAACTAGGGGTGGTTGCGGTTCGGTAACCGCGAATTTTTACTCAAATTGCAAACCGATCGACTATTTGCGGTATGGTGATTTTTGAAACCGCAAAACGCGTTTGCGGTTTACAGCATTGCGATAAACCGCAAAATGCGGTCGGTTACCGTGAATTAGCGGTTTAAAACCGCAAGTTCTCAAGCATTCACAAAAATATAAATTCACAATCTAAATAAATAAATACACAATCTCAATTTCTCAAGCATATATAAATTCACAATCTCCTCAACTTCTTAAGCATTCACAACCTAAGAAAATTATAGTTATAGTTCCAAGCATTCCAATTAAAGTTAAACTTCTCAAGCATTTCAATTCCAAATCCTTTAAAGTTACAAACCAAAAGGAAAATGCAAAGCAAAATGAATTAAAGTTACAACCAAAAAGAAAAATCCAATTCAAAGTTAATTAAAGTTAAAAACTAAAAGGAAAATGCAATGCGCCAATATTACAAACTAAAGTTACAAACTCAAAGTGTTGGTGGTGAATGGATTTGAACCCCGTTGTGTTGTTTGAGCACCAATGTTATCTACAAATAAAACAACATAGTTTAGTACATTTTATTATAAGAAGAAACATAAATAACATTAGCATAAATAAACTAATTACTTACAAGTTGTCATATGTTCCATTTACTTGTAGAATTCAACCTCATCATCCGTGCGACTATACTTTGAGGTTTGCGGTAACCGCAAGTTTTGAAAATCAAATACCGGAACCGCAACCGCAAATGTAGTTCGGTTCTTAATACCACAAATGCGGTTCGGTTTACCGCGATTAATGTTTCATTGCAGTAAATTGTCGGTTGGTTTTTGCGATTTTTAGGTTTTTCGGTTTAAAATGCCACCCCTAGTCTAAACAATTGAGAAGGGATTTTTCACAGATACAATGTTATTAGGGTTCGAACCTGAGACCGCTAGTTCTTAAATTTAGCCCATTTCCTATTGAATTAGACCTAATTAATTTAACTACTAAAATTAAGATGTGAAAAATATATTCATAGCCCTTCTCCCCATAGCATCGCGATTAAGCCTTTTTTCTTATATATATAGAGAGAGAGCTTCCATTGAGGGATCCCTCAAATAAGTTTATTTAAGGGGCACCCCTTGTAGGCTCCACTCCGGATTGTATTTCACTAATCCAAACCGTCTATTTTGTAGATACTCATTCAAAGATATCTCTACAAAAAATCACTTGAATCCGATATCATTTGACCACTCAATTGAGTTATTGAAATTTTAGTATTTTCTTGAAGCACCATGTTCATTGATTTTGTAAAACACAATTGGATGTCGAACTGGTTTCTGATTTGTCTATTTTTTTGTAAGGATGATCTATGAATGAATATCTAAAAAATGGATGGTTTGGATCATTGGGAAAAAAAATTGTAGAGTACTCTAATGGGCGTCCCTCAAATAAAATTATTTGAGGGATCCCTCAAATAGAAGGGGACTGTATATATATACAGTAACTTTAAAAATTTGTATATATTATTGCAAAATCATATATAGTGACCGCCCAGGCCAACTTTGAGCCCAACATTCCTTGGAGGCAGTTGAACTTCATTCCATTGATTCAATCAAAAGTTGAATACCCAGATATGAAATGTAATGAATGAATGGTATGTTAAAGAGGACTACGCTGGATCGACAAAGCTTTAATCCTGGTTCAGCCATTGGTTGGACTGTTCTGTGGTGGCAAAAGCTGTGTCTCTCCGTCGAACCAAATGCTCAGGTACTTCCCGCGCAGGTCCCTCCATGTGTCCCGAACCCTCAACTGGAAGCTCCGGGATGAGTACAAGCTGACTCGGCCCGAATTACAAGACCGGATTTCCAATCTCCTCGTCCTCCAACGGTACGATGCTCTTGACAAGCTAAAGCTGTCCTTTGAGTTCTCCGACCAACTCCTCAACACCATCCTCCGAAAACTGAAGCTAAACCCGGTAGCCTGCTTAAGCTTTTTCAAATTGGCTTCAAAGCAGCAAAAATATAGGCCCAACCTCAAGTCTTATTGTATAATTGTTCATATATTGTCCAGAGCTCGAATGTACGATCAAACCAGAGCGTATTTGAACGAATTGGTCGGCCTCTGCAACAATAATTATTCAGCCTCTGTGGTCTGGGATGAGCTTGTTAGGGTTTATAGGGAATTTACGTTTTCACCCACTGTTTTCGATATGATTCTCAAGGTGTTTGCTGAGAAGGGCATGACCAAGTGTGCACTGCATGTGTTTGACAATATGGGTAAGTGCGGTCGATCTCCGAGTTTAAGGTCTTGTAATTCTTTGTTGAGTAATTTGGTCAGAAACGGCCAAAGTCACACTGCATTGCTTGTTTATGAGCAAATAATTAGGTTCGGGATGGTTCCTGATGTCTATACCTGTTCAATAATGGTAACCGCGTATTGTAAGGAGGGGAGGCTGAGTAGAGCGCTGGAATTCGTCAAAGAAATGGAAAGTTCGGGTTGTGAATTAAACGTAGTGACTTACAATAGTTTGATTGATGGGTATGTTAGTTTGGGAGATGTTAAAGGCGCCCAATTGGTGTTGGGGTTGATGTCTGAAAGGGGAATTATGAGAAATGTGGTGAGTTATACACTATTGATTAAGGGTTACTGCAAGCAGTGTAAGATGGAGGAAGCGGAGAAGGTGCTTCGGGGTATGAAGGTGGAGGAGTCTGGGGTTGTGGATGAGCGCGCTTATGGTGTGTTGTTAGATGGGTATTGTAAAGCTTGCAGAATGGATGATGCTATTAGGATTCAGGATGAGATGTTGAGCACAGGCTTAAACATGAATATTTTCATTTGCAACTCCTTGATCAATGGGTACTGTAAGGTTGGTCAAGTTCGTGAAGCGGAGGGAGTGTTGTTGCGGATGAGATATTGGAACTTAAAGCCCGATTCTTATAGTTATAATACCCTGATGGATGGGTACTGTCGGAAAGGTCAGACAAGTGAGGCACTGAAGCTTTTCCACGATATGCTTCAGGAAGGAATCAATCACACTGTTGTAACTTACAATATGCTTCTCAAGGGTTTATGTCAAGCGGGTGCTTTTGATGATGCTTTGCATCTTTGGCATCTAATGTTGAAAAGAGGGTTGGCTCCTAATGAGATTAGCTATTGTTCTATGCTTGATGGGTTTGTCAAGAAGGATGATCTCGACGGGGCTATGACTGTATTTAAAGAAATTTTAGCAAAAGGTTTTACCAAAAGCAGGGTTGCTTTCAATACAATGATTAATGGGTTATCCAAGATGGGTAAATTGGTGGAAGCGGAGGAGATTTTCGATAAGATGAAGGAGCTAGGATGTTTGCCTGATGAGATGACTTATAGAACCCTGAGTAATGGGTATTGTAAGGTTGGGAATGTTGAAGAAGCTTTCAAAGTTAAAAGTTTGATGGAAAGGCAAGCGATAGGTCCTTCCATTGAAATGTACAATTCTCTCATCAATGGTGCCTTTATGTCCAGGAAATTAAGTAAAGTGATGGATCTTCTTGCTGAGATGCAGACAAGGGGACTATCCCCTAATATTGTTACATATGGATCCCTTATAACTGGTTGGTGCAATGAAGGGATGCTGGATAAAGCTTTTAGTTCATATTGTGAGATGATTGACAAAGGGTTTATCACCAATTTAATTATTTGCAGCAAAGTTGTCAGTACTCTGTATAGGCTTGGCAGGATTGATGAAGCAAATATTCTATTGAAGAAGCTAGTGGATTTTGATCTTTTTTCAGATTGTCTATCTTCTTCGAACCTTTGCAAAGTTGGCAGTGGACATCAAGAAATTCAGAAATTTTCAGATTCTCTTGATGAAAGTGCTAAAAGCTTCTCTCTGCCCAACCATGTTGTATACAATATTGCTATCTTCGGACTCTGCAGATCAGGGAAAGTTGCCGATGCAAGGAAATTTTTATCGGAGTTGTTGATTAGTGGCTTTTCTCCTGACAATTTTACATATTGCACCCTAATTCATGCCACTGCTGCTGCTGGTGATGTGAACGGGGCTTTCAACCTACGAGATGAAATGCTGAAAAGGGATCTTGTTCCTAACATTACCACATACAATGCTCTTATAAATGGCTTGTCCAAATCAGGAAATTTGGATCGAGCACAGAGGCTTTTCCGTAAACTTTACCGAAAAGGGTTAGCTCCTAATGCTGTTACCTATAATCTATTGATTGATGGATACTGCAGAATTGGCAATACTGTTGAAGCCTTCAAATTTAAAGACAAGATGGTTCAAGAAGGGATTTCCCTCTCTATTATCACTTACTCTACATTGATCAATGGTCTTTATAAGCAAGGAAATATGGAAGACTCTGTGAAGCTTTTGAGTCAAATGATCAAGGTGGGAGTGCAACATAACCTTGTTAATCACATACTCCAGTTTGATTCAAGACATTAAATGTGGGTTGAGGAAAGATATTCAAACTTAAAAATTAAATGCATATTAGGTGATCCTCATCTCTTGTTATTTCTCATCAAAGGATGCGTTTGTTAGAGTCTTCAAATATTCAAGGACTTCCCTGGAACACATCAGATGTCTGAAGCTGTTAGTTGATGCATTCTCAGTGAACAAATTTGTTGGGAGTGAAGGAATGGCCTTTATTTAGCCCATGGCCTTGTACTCTGTCATTCAGTTTTGGAGTTCTGACCACCAGTAAGGAGGCTTATTTGCATTTTTTTATGAATTTGCTTGCACTACTAAGAAATGCCTTGAACTTATGGTCACAAGTTTCTACATTTTCTTTACCTCTTCTTTTCTATTTGTCTGTGCTTGATTAGTTGAATGTTCAGGTATGGTGCTACAATCGAGTCTCTCATTCCAAATGGGTATTTTGTTACTTATGATGGCTGGGGGAATAGAGAAGAGGTATGATTCTCAGATACCTTGAATCATTACGCTTTTAATTCAGTAAGTCATCATTTTCTCTCCTTGTCATGTTCATAACAAGGTATTTGTATGAATCTTGCTTCTGAATTTTGATATGCATATATCAGTCAGAAATTCGTGTTCCAAAAGTTATTCATGATTACTGGTTTGGAATGAGAACTATTGTTGTGTGTTAGAGAGAGAGAGAGAGAGAGAGAGAGAGAGAGAGAGAGAGAGACCCAAGTCCACGGTAATGACCAAAATCGTAGTGTATTGTGTTGCACAAACGGGCAAGTGCCTATTTTGCTATTTTTTTATTGTATACTATGTATGAACCATATTGTACATGGATATTTTATCATCCATTACCCCTCATTGAACTCTGCCACCATCGCAGTATCAGGATTAAGATTTTGTGTTTGTTTGTAGTGGATTATAAAAGTATTTGTGCTTGTGCATCACTCTGGCCTTCGTTGATGTGGGCAGTGGACTACCTTTTGGCCGCTGCTTTCTGGCCAATTTCTTGACCATGCATCTTTTGCCTTCCTGCTAAGTTGAATCGTAGCAATGTTTTTTCCCTTGTGAATTCTCAAGTGAGGATGTTCTCTTTTAAAATAGAACGTAAGCATCCTCCCTAGGCCTACCTCACAATGCAGTTTGATGATTGCAACTTTCTACATTTTATATCAATTTTAAGGGGTCATTCTTGCCAAAACACACACACACACACAAAGCCAGATCAGAAACTGTTTGGTCATATTAGCTGTACAGACAAACACTGTTTTTCAGATGAAAATGAAATGGTTGCTGATCAAATGGCTAAATAATTATTTTTTGGCTGATTTTTATGGATGATGCTTAAATGAGAAGCTTAAAAATGGACGATTCTGATCATTGAATGTAGGCTGGAGATAGGTTGTTCAGATTTTCTGAAGTGCAAACACCCTCACTTGAAGCTTCAAGTTTCTTCCCATTGAAAGAAAATAAGCATCATCTTGGTTGAAGACTTTTGCAATTTGAAGTGGAAACTTTAAAAGTTTAGAAAATGAAGTATTTGAAAATAATAATAGATGCACTGACACAGAAAGGCCAAAACATTGGTAGCTGGGTTCCACCATTTCAAATGCTGCAAACTTAGAGGGAATGTTAGATACCCATGAATGGATGAAACTAGCAGCTGTGGGCAACTTTGGTTTTTGGGTAATGGAACAACTGTTTGTAGTTTTCCTGATGTAGAACAGCCCGTGGGTTTAGAGTAAATAGCCTTTAGGTTTAGAGTAAACACTAGAGCAAGAGAGCAGGGAAGAAATAAGGGATCGAAGAGAAGAATTAGAGATCGAAGAGACGAAGGGAAAGGGAAGGAATCAGAGAGTTTAAAGTAAGGAAGTTTATCATTAATCAAGTCTGCCTTAAAAGATTACAAACAGCTCTATTTATAGAGACAAAACCCTTTTTAGCCTAGGACAAGGAAAAGTAATCTTTAAGAAATAGGAAAGCAAATGAACTAATAAGAGATCCTTTAACAAGAAGGAATCTTTAAGAAATAGGAAAGCAAATTAGCTAATAAGAAATCCTTTACCAAGAAGGAACCTTTTAAGAGTTAGGAGAACTAATAATAGGAAAACTAATCCAAGTAGAATAAGGAAAACTAATAATATGCATTCTGCATCATTCTCCCCCATCGAAAAAGAACTCGACACCGGCGAGTAAACCAAGACTAAGGATGACGACGACGTTTGTAAGTATGGATGATGGGAGGACGGGATGCAGCCAAATCAAGATCATGAAGAGCATCCTGATAATTGTGCAGAAGAGTGGGATCCAACTGGCGAAATTCAGCTTCTGTAATCCAAGTATCCTCAGTAGCAGGTCTTCCAACCCAACGAACCAGATAACGGGTAGAACCTCCAGTAGACGAGGCCACAACTTCATGATCCAAGACGTCCTCAATCTGATCTGTAATGGCAGAACTAGTAGCAGGAAGACGCGGCACCATAGAAGGAGCGGAACCCTGAGCAGCATCCATAGAAATAGGTGGAGAAAAGGTTCCCCGATAAGGAGTTAAATCAGAAACATTGAAAATGGGACTTATATGCATATCTGCAGGCAACTCAAGCAAGTAAGCGTTGGAGCCAAGCTTTCTAATGATACGATAAGGACCCATCGAACGAGCATGAAGCTTCTTAAAAGATTGCTTAGGAAAACGCTCAGGACAAATACGCACCATAACAAAATCCCCTTCCTGAAACTCTTGTTGACGACGATGAACATTGGCTGCTAGTTTATAAGTGTCGGTGTGCATGGATATCTGCCTACGGACATCATCATGTAGTTGCCTAATATGTTCAGCAAATGACGTAGCAGAATCTGATGCGCGGGCAGCCACAGGAAGAGCAACTAAATCAACAGGTGATCGGGGAGAAAACCCATGAACAACCTCAAAAGGACTCTTACCGGTACTTCGATTAACTGAGTTGTTATAAGCAAACTCAGCCACAGGCAATAAAAGATCCCAATTACCAGGTTTATCCCCAACTAAACAGCGGAGTAAATCACCAAGACTGCGATTAACCACCTCAGTTTGACCATCTGTTTGGGGATGGAAAGCAGAAGAAAACTTCAAAGTAGTACCGAAGAGCTTCCACAAAGTCTTCCAAAAATAACTAACAAATTTGACGTCGCGATCAGAAATAATGGAGACGGGGAGCCCATGCAAACGGACTACTTCCTTAAAGAATAACTTGGCCACATAAGAAGCATCAGTATTTTTAGCACAAGGCAGAAAATGTGCCATTTTGGAGAAACGATCAACTACGACAAAAATAGAGTCATAGCCACGACTAGTCTTAGGTAAGCCAAGCACGAAATCCATACTAAGATCCTTCCATGGGGCATGAGGTATCGGCAAAGGGGTATATAAACCTGTGTTACGTTTGCGAGCTTTAGCTAGCTGGCATGTACGACATTGGGAAATGAGATGAGCAACATCACGTTTTAACGACGGCCAATAGAAACGATCTTCCACCAAGGCAATAGTCTTGTCTTTGCCAAAATGTCCTGCGAGGCCGCCACCATGTAGTTCCCAAACAAGGAATTCACGGAGAGATGTACGGGGAATACATAATTGTGTTCCTCGAAATAGGAACCCATCCCTCATAATAAAGTCCACATATTCGCGACGGTTACCATTGGAAACTTCATGAAAAATAATCCCAAAATCTGGACAAGACGAATACTCAGTCTTAATACGATCAAACCCGGTTACCTGAACTGTCATTGTGTGCAAAATACTAGCCATGCGACTAAGGGCATCGGCTGCCTTATTGTCAATGCCTGGACGGTGTCGTAAAACAAATGTAAAGATCTGGAGATATTCGGACCACTTAACATGTCGACTGCTAATGGTGCGTTGAGAGTGCAGATATTTCAAAGCTTGATGATCTGAATACAACACAAATTCGTTCAGCAGTAGGTAATATTGCCAATACCGAAGTGCTTGTACCACAGCATAAAACTCCTTATCATAAGTAGAATAACGCTGCTTTGCTTCATTAAGTTTCTCACTAAAGTATGCTATGGGATGTCCTTCTTGGCTAAGCACACCACCAATCCCAACTCCGGAAGCGTCACATGCGACTTCAAAGACTTTAGTCAAATCAGGATGTCGAAGAACAGGTGCTTGCGTCATCTTCTGCTTCAAAATTGTAAAGGCCTTGGCAGCCGCAGAGGTCCAAAGAAAAGCACCTTGTTTCATACAATCAGTTATTGGTGCCATAATAGTACTGAACCCTGGAATAAAACGTCGATAAAAAGAGGCAAGACCATGAAAACTGCGTGCCTCTGTCAGAGTCGTGGGTGTTGGCCAACCAGTAATAGCCTCCACCTTGGCAGGATCTGTGCTAACCCCAGCAGCAGAAATATTGAACCCCAAGAATAAAACTTGTGGTTGAAGAAACGAACATTTTTTTAAGTTGGCATAAAGTTTTTCCTTTCGTAAAGTAAGGAATATCGTCCTAAGATGTTGAAGATGTTCCTCATGAGAGTGGCTGTATATAAGTATGTCATCGAAATAAACTACCAGAAATTTACCAATATAAGGTCGTAACACATGAGTCATCACCCTCATGAACGTGCTGGGTGCATTGGACATGCCAAAGGGCATAACAAGCCACTCATATAAGCCATCAGGGGTTTTAAAC